AACACAAAGAGAACAGCACCTAAGAAATAAGGTTTAAAACTTCAAAAATTAGATATTATTATTTTTTATTTATGAAATAATTAATTAAATATATTAAGATTATAATTCTATACAATTTGGTCATAAATTTTTGAATTAATTGGTCACAAATTATTTTTCGATCATAAATCAAAACTTTTATACGTCACAATTTATTTATCGGTCACAAATCAAAAAAATTATATCACAAATTACAAATTTTATTAGTCACGACTAAAATTTTTAGTTCACATATTATTTATTTGTCACAATTTATAGGTCACATGTTATTTTTTTAGTCACGAAATATCCAAATTATTGGTTACAATCTCAAATAATTGATCACAAACTCTTTTAATCCCACCCCACCCCACCCCACCCCAATCCCAATCCCAATCCACCGTGGCACCAACACCTCCAACAAACTACCATTTTTAATTTCAAAACCACCACAACCACCATTTTCAACTACAAAACCACTGTGCCATCGACATATCCACACCAAATCTACCATCACCTACCCCCCGGGGCATAGCTCAGTGGTGCAAAGGATAAGAGTGAGGTAATCTCAGCTGAGTTGCAGCCACAGTGTGAGAGTTCGATTTCTGCATCATACAAGATATGGAATTTGACTTTTTGTGGACACCAATATGACAGCTCTTGTACCCTGACCTATTGAGCCACATCCCACGATTTACCTCCTCCACGATGCTCTAGGGGCGGGGCGAGCCCTCAAGGTTGGGGCTCAACCTTTTTTTTTTTTACCATCACCTCCACCAACAAAAGCCACCCCTACCATTAAATCTAACACTCTTTTTCAGATCACCACCACCACCACAACAACCAACAAAACATTATTTTCAACTACAAAACCACCACTGTCATCGACATATACATGCCAGATTCACCACCACTTCCACCAACAAAAGCCACCCCACCACCAAATCCAACAAACCCCTTTCAGATCCACCACCGATCTAACACCACCGCACCAACAAAAACCATCACCAAATCACGATGTAAATACACAACCATCACATTACACTGTCGCTGTCACAATAGTGATCGCGAACCATCGACCACCACAAATCGGCAAAACACCACAACCAAAGACCTGGTATAGATCGTTGAGAGGCGAAGGCTCCGATGTCACACCTCAACGTTGTGAGCAGAGGCCTCGCCCTGCGAGACTGGACTTGTACAGATCGCTGCAACTACTGAGCCTCTAAGTTAGCTATGTCAACGAGCCGAGCCGGAAAAAAAAAGCTCCGACTCGGTTCTAGCTTTTTTGGGCCGAGCTTTTTCAAACCCGAGTTGAGCAAAGCCCTGCCAAGAAAAATTCGGCTTGGCTCTGCCCGAGCCTTAGCTGGCCAGCCGAGCCAGCTCAGGTTTTTTATTTATTTAAACTCACAATATTATCTTGACTACCGTAAATTTTGCGATTGTCATTTAATGATATACTATCTTTATTGGTTTCTATGTGTTGTGTTAATTACTTTTTGAGTTATTTTCCTTTTATTTAACTTTTGATTAATAGTATGAATGTATGATACAAGGGTAAAAATGCTATCTTTTGGCTATTGATTTTCTATGACGTCGGTTTTATATTTTCACTGTCTAATTTTCTAATTAATTTCTTAGAACTTGTTTGGTATATCTCAAAATCGAATTAAAATTAAAAATATAGTCATTATTAAGTCTCACTCGTCTAATAAAAGTCAACAATAAATGCTAATTTTTTAATTTTAATTCGATTTTAATCTCTACCAAACAATCTCTTAATGTGGTGATTTTGGGTTGATAAAATCTGTCCCTTAATTGTATTTATTGAAGTTGATTTTCGGATTTTTTTTATTTTTTTAAAAATTTTAGTAACTGCACGTAGGTAGCTATTTTAGCTGCCTGCGTGTAGGCACAAGCAGATTTTGCTGCTTGTGCAAGGCAGCAAAATTGCTGTCTGTGCGCAGCTGCACCAGCAACTGTCTACACAGGCAGCTATAAATAGCTGTCTGCAGGCATCCTTTTTAATTAATTAATGCAGACAGCCTTTTTAATTAATTAATTTTTTTTATGTTGCTTGTACGGGTCGGCCCGTGTGGCTCGGCTCGGGCTTTTTACGGGCCGAACCCTAGCCGACAAGTTTTTTTACCATCCCTACACTAAGCCAAGCCCAACTCGAGCTTTTTACGGGCCGAACCTTAGCCGACGAGCTTTTTTACTATCCCTACACTAAGTTCAGAGGCTTCGATGCCATCCCACAACGTGATGGCTTTCAAACTGGTATGAAGTATAATCATAAATGGACCTATTTAATTCTACTTTTTTGTGACGTTTTGAATTAATTTATAAACATTGGCCCTAAATAATAGTAGTAGTTTGTGTAAGTTTTAGGCTTTTAGCCTCGATTTGGCTGCTAATTCATAAATCTACTACTATTATTTTTATTAATGTGTACAACTTTGTCAAATGGAGGCTCAATGTGATACTTATTGCATGGTTAGAGCATCCCATAGTGACTTTTTAAATACGAGATACTCTCTACAGTAAAGAGTCAACCTTTAAAATTATATTTCAAGAGATTCTTTATATTAATATTTTAATTTAGAAACTGAGTTTGACTCTCACTATAATTAAATGCATTCAAAGTATTTTAATTTTCAATGGAAAAAATAATATAATAATTTAGAAGTTAGTGAAAATAAAAAGGGGAAAAATAATAAATATTTTTTGAAAGTTATAAAATTAAATGTTAAATATAAAGAGTCCATTGGAATACTTAAATTTTTTTACTCTAAATTTATAAATGTGCTCTAAATAATAAAATATACTATTTAAAAATAGAAAGCCTCTCGAAAATGCTCTTAAAAGGCTTATTCCTGTAACCAAAAACATAAAAGCAACCTAAAGGAGAAGATATGAAAACAATGATACATATAATAGTTTTAACTCAAACAACTAGTCTTCACAAGTAATGTACGTGTTCATAATTTCCACGGCAGCAAGACAGAAAATGTATTGAATTTTCATATACAAATTTGGGTTAGAACTCGCACTACCGGACAAAAATAATACACAAATTGTACATTTATTTCATGTCTATTAATAATTTCACGTAAGCGCCAACAGAAAGAAAAACCGATTCTACACGAGTTACTCCATATGTAAGAACGTCAAGGTACGTCTTAAATACTTGTCATCTGCACTCAAGCATGACTTTGCAATTTCGAGTAATTTCGAGTTAACTGCCAACATGTCATCAGACATCTGTAATATGCAAAACAAAACAAAAAACAAATGTCGAAAATATGTGAATGTAACCCTGCATTTTTAGTATAAATATGAAAAACTTGCAGGTCTCACTTTTAAGTGAAAAGAAAAGAAAGATATGGTATCTTAAAGATACTTAAATAAAATCATATGAGATTAATCCCTAGCACTAAGAAACTTGTGTTTCTTTCACCATTGGTTCAGCATATTACCAAATACTGCCTAACGGTCATGTAGGGAAGCAAAATTGAGGTATAGGTGGTTACACTCACTGTAAAGGATGATGCTATACAGTTGCAAGCTTCCAGTGCAAGCTTCCCTCGAACAACCTAAGTGCAAGCATTCGAATTTGACAATACATGTATTAGTCCATAAGTGCAATAGATAGTAATTCAAATTATGCCCATTTATGTTGTAAATATAATTTACAAAGAGAAATAAAAACAAAAAAGAATTGGAGTTTTAAAAAGGAAGGAGGAAAATAAGAAAGCCAACTTACCATAGAAGTCTCTTCCAAAACAATATTCAAAATTTTCTGAAGAATAACAGCAGAAAATGACAAAAGTTCTTGAGGATATACCGGTAAACCAAAGAACAATTTGTCATTGCCCATTACCTGAACAGTTCAGAAATCAATATTATGGTGTACAAATAAGGAATACAACCAGAAGGGCACATACATAGATAGGGGTGTGTGTGTGTGTGTGTGTGTGTGGGTGTGTGTGTGTAGTGAGACAGATGAATATCTGTACATTGGCTCCAACAAGCAAAAAATATGTTACTAGATTATGTCATTCTAGCAAAGACTAGCAAAATAACAGCCATTTTCCCCTTTGAGAAGATCAAATAAGACCTCAAACTCACTCCTCAAATCAAGGGGCAATGTCACAACTTCCCAAGTGTTGTCACTTCGAAAACAAACTTTACTGAATTCAACTAGAACATAGCTTTTGCTTTTATTAAATTTCTTCTGTGAGTAAACTATTACATCCATAATGTAAAAGCTTTGGTTAATATGAGTAAGAAAAAAACTACTGTCAAAATTTGACATCTAATTGTGGAATCTTAAATGCAGTATGAAGCATTACAAAGCTTCATAGATAAGAAATATAAGGTTGTTCGCAGTTGGCTTCTTCAAACTTTTCCTTTTTCATGTCTGCTTTGGGTTCTTCAGGTTTTTCTGTTTTGGATGTTTGTACATATTTTTGTACACATACAAAAATTGTCTTAGGCAAGACTCACCCAGTCCCAGCTCCAATTATAAGGGGGTTACCAGGTTGTATACATACAAAAATAATCTTAGGCAAGATTCACCCAGTCCCAGCTCCAATTATAAGGGGGGGGATACCAGGTCAAGACAGAAATGTGAATCCCTTTACCTCAAGCCATTTTAATAGTAACCCACTCAAACTATTTCAAATATCCTCTCTTCCAAACTCTGATTGTACCAAAATAATTTGAAAGGTATTCTACCAAATATTGCGCAGCCAGAATCATATAAACATAGCAGGTACTGAGGAAATGAAGTATAAAAATTGGATCCACAGATAGACCAAGCTTCGGCAGCATAACAGAAGTACCTCTCTGCTGGATGCATGGTATGGAAGTGGATTTTGGCTTAATCCTGCAGACAATGAAATGATTGCGCATGACACCTTGATTTTCAATCTTGGCAACATCCTGTAACAGTGAAATGAATTATCAATAGGAACAAAGTGAATAACACAAGTTCAAGAAAAATATGATATGGAATTCACCATGATTGAGAGTCCAGGATAGACAGCACAAGCTTTGGGATGCAAGCAACTCCTTGTTCAAGGCTCCCTTCAATTATAAATAGATGACATCAGGAACATTGTTGAGAAAGATTAAAAGATAACTAAGCTACTTCCAGTTGATTTCTGCAAAGACAGATATAGCTTCTAATTATATAGAAGCAATAAACAGATAAGCAAGGAATCTGTAATAGTTGGGTGCCAACCATACGTTTCACCAAGTGAGGAAAAAAAAAAGGAGGAAAATAAACCTGGAACCATCACCATGATGCCACATAATTTGCATATTAACGAGATTATCCCATCAACATCACCAGGCACCAGCAAGCCTATAGGAAAATCTCACTGATTCAGCACTTACTTTTGCACTAAAATAGTACCAAGCAGGATATGAAAGAAAAATGAAATAGAATATTAAAGATTAAAAATGAGAAATAAGGACTTAAAGCGACAATGAAAACAAACCAAGTCACCAGAAAATTTAGCATCAAAAAGATCTCTTTTCAAGCCACAGATTAGCTTCGAGTAAATTTATGATTCAAGTGAAGTACATATTTCAGTGGGATGAGGTACCAGAAATTGTTCTAGAATATTATTATTTGAATCCTTCTATAGACAACTAGTAGAACTAGAAACGTTCAGTGAATGAAACACTCGGTTCATTAAAAATATATACCATTTCTTCATTTTATTAATCTAGAGCAGTGAATCCTTCAAGATAAGGTGATTATCACAAGAACTATCTCTGCCTGTTAAGTGTCGTTATAACCAACAGATCCCAAGTCCTAAGCCACTGATTCAGTTCGAATAAACATGTAATGAAAAGTTGCATCAGAGGACTCAGGAGGAGAGAGCCAACAGACCCCATCTCTCCCAAATTCCTAAGAATTGTCAACATCCCCAGGAAACCATTTCCAAAACACTTACCACCTTTGCTAACATCACACAAACACCAACTTGAAATCTATGCCCCCATCACTGTTGCAAACACTCCCATCAAGCCACATTCCGTAGATTGAAACTATACATCAAAGACGGTTCAATGAGGGGTTAATCGGTGAGGAGAAAAGATTTTGGTTACGTTAATGAGGAATTGTAGTTTGTGGTGCTCTGTAACTGTAGATCTTAAGTAAACTGAAAGATAACAGTAAGGGAGGCAGTAACTCTGCCATCTAATGATGTCTGGATTTTTGGTAGGATTATCTAGATCATTTTCTTAATCCCCTTGAATTATTTATTGCAAGTGGTTGGGTATATAGGAACTTCTAATATGGTGCTGGAGACTATAGCAAGATGCGGTTGCAGTTGATGGCTATGATGCTCGGACTCGGCTACGAGTCTACGTGTTAGGTCTTTTATTTTCTAAAATGCTTATTAGCACAAAACGTTCCTACGCTTGGTCCTTAGTGTGCAAAACGTGCTTACAATTCAATTTTTTGCATTTTCATCTCTATTTATAAGTTTCATTGTGGAAAACATCATTTTTATCAATTTTTATCCAATTTCTTAATAAAAATTCATGAAATGACAAATATACCCTCTTATTTAAATAAAACAAAAAAGAAAATAATAAATAAAGAATTAATTGCAAACATAGGCCCAAATTTTTCAAAAAAAATTTATTAAAAAATTGGATAAAAATTGATGAAAATGACATTTTCCATAATAAAATGTGTAAATAGAGGTACATATGCAAAAAAAATTGAAAGGTAAGGACGTTTTGCATACTAAAGACCAAACATAGGGACGTTTTGTGTTAATAAGTCTCTTCTAAAATGTAGGATACGAGGACGTAGCTAAAAAAAATCCAAATTTCATTAATATGTTTTTTGTCAACCTTATTAACATATCAACACTGTTAATAAGACTTTTTGTCAACCTAATTAGCCTAAAAATATTAGTAGCAATGAAAACAATAACTCATTTGACTAAAATCACGAAAATTGTGTAACGGATGGAAGATATAAACCCCCTATATAAATTGCTGTGTCCGGATAGAGTACCCATACCCGTATCATGTCGTGTCGACACGGGTACTACCATTTCGAAGAGTCCGAGCATCATAGCTTGATGGAGGAGGAGTGGAAGTGTCTGGTTAGCTTGGGGTGATTGGGGAAAAGAGAGATGTTAGATTGATTTTTCTTTTCTAAAGCTGGACTGCTCGACTCAATTTGGATAAAAATGACAAATGAAACAAGTCATACTATCTTCTGATGAACAGATCCAAGTCAGACTCAGCCAATTCACATGAAAGGAAGGGAGTACTGGAATTTATAGATATTACCAAACTTTTCTAGTATAGATTTATAACAGCTGTTGTATATGATATTACACTTATATTTAGTTGCCACAGTTATCTGGTTGAAGTATTTGACTAACCATTATCTGGCTCTACATTTCGCAAACAATTGACTGCTGCATCTATCAACACATCCGAATGAGAAATAAAGCCACCCAATAAAGCAACCTGGTACGTGAAAAAGAAAAGTATATCAGCCTATATTTATCCGTATATGATAGTAAAATTGAACATGAAATTGATACCTCAGCTGTTTCAAGATAAAGATTCAACTGTCTCCGGCGAGTGAGAATAGAAGGTATTGTAACTTCATTAAATGCTAGACAAGATTTGATGAAATTGATATTATTATTTCCATCTCTCATGGATTTAACAGCTAAATTATTGCTGGAGTGAACGAGGGTCTCCTGCAAGCCAAGTTTAGAAATTATTATGTACTGGTGGAATATTTATTTCTATATCAAGAATGAACAGCACCAAAACTCCGAAAAATCAACCTTGTGCGTAATGTAAGACCAAGATACACATGGGTACACAGATTAGAGTATTATCAACTAAAAAAAACCTCCGCCGTCAAAAATAACTTAAAAGAAAAAAGGGCCCACCCATGATGTGGAAAAGTCTCAAATCACAAAGAAACTAGAATGTAAAACAAGTAGAGCACATGTATTTGATCCTGTGAAGGTACTGTTAGTTCCAAAAGCATCTTCAGCCCTCTCCTTTCATAAGGTCCATAGAGATAGGAGAAAAAGGATATGCCTTTTTCCTTGTTTTGTACTGGTGTATTTTATTCTAGAAATATACAACAAAAAATACTAAATTCTTTCATTAATTGTATGCTGAGTTCATCAAGAAACTTGGGGAGAAAGTGTTTTTTAATTCTTGAAATAAGGTGTTCATCTAAAACTTGAAAAGGGGATGTTACAATTTTAAGCATACAAAAAATTGGATAATATTGTAATATCTATAACATCTTTCTAGTCATACCATTAGTTAGTTGTTTAACTAGGACACCTACTTATTTCATATTAGACTTTCCCATATATGTAGACTTTTAGTGTCAGAAGAAGGATAAACACATACCTATTTGAATAGATTTTCACATGTCAAGGCCATTGTAGTAATGTTATGATTGATAGTATTAAATCTCTAATCTCCAGAGATCATAGATCTTGATGTCATAATAGATTATGTCAGAAGATACCAACTTCATATTAGCATTTGAAGTATCGTATTTTATCAGTGTATAATGAGAAATTTGATAATCTACCTTACATAAGATGGTGAAAGTGAGAAACAAATTGCAATTCATGTACATATTTTTTTTCTTAATCTAGCGATTCGAGTACATTATGAAAATTCTTGATTGAGAAACATAATTATATGTGGAGAAGAATAGAAAAACCTGGAGTACACTCATGCTTCCAAAAGCTGCACGACATTCAGTGAGAAAAGTTAAATGTTGTTCGACCTCCGGACCATAGTCAACCTGAAAGTAACATGCACTAATATGTGTTGGCAAACCAAATTCTTAGCTCTGTGATAGTCAACTGCATTGCACCCATTACTCTGAAACTATAATATTTGAAACTAGAAGTAGGTTACCATATATACAAATTGGGAAATCAGATGTGCCGGATGTTGATAATCATCATTCCTTATATTTAAGAAGTCTACACCATCACACAAGGCCTGAGAAACTTCAAATAGAACCTCAATGACCGTTGGATCTCGTACACAACCATTCCTGCAAATATAAGTGATAACAGGATAGCTCAGCAAATTTTTGAGAATAGAGAAACCAAAAACTTCTGAAAATCTTATCTTTCCACATGCAAAAACTGGTGCACAAAAGATTCCATGTATTAGAAAATTTTCATCAATAAGTACCAAAATACAATAGATTGCACAACGTTGACAATCAGTCCAATGGCTGGAAATGATCATCTTAACTAAAACTAGATAATCAGCCAGACCATTCTTGTCAGTATATTTAAAGACGAAACTGAAGTCTGTTTATCACTGCACTCGAACAGGTTTAGGTTTCAGTAATACGGGGAACGTGATTCCATAATACAAAAAAGAAAGACTTATGAACTCTTTATGGGGGAAAAGAATTATACCTTGTGGCCATACTAAGAATGTGCATATTGATAGTGTTTCTTGAGCTCCCATACATCACATCTAAGATGTCAATGAAATGACTCTACAAAAGCATTAGATTTTAATAGTGATTAGTCAAAATAGTTTACAAGGATCTCAAACAACGTGATATTTGTGCGGTGATGATATAGAGATATTATGACTAGGCTACTGGAAGTTTTGAAACCCAAATGCGCAAGTGAAGAATGAAAAAGTGATCACTAACAGTATCTGCAACAGTAGTATAACGAACAACTTCAAAATATTTCCAAGTTCTATAACTATATTACATTTCAATTAGAAGCATACCAGAGCTAATATGTTTTCAATATTGGCAAAATGTGTAAGAAGTTTCATGAAAATTGACTGCAAGCTTGCCAGTTCATTTTCGCCAATCTCATCTTCTCGTGCACGTTGAAATATGCCATCCAGGATCACATTTAGATAAGTTTCCTGTAAAACGGATGTGAATTAGAGAGATGCGAGCTTCCAGAACAAAGAATCTCCTTGTTACCCAGAGTACAAATTCTCACTTACAGATTACGCTGAGAACTAAAATCACCACAAAAATTAAGTTTTTCTACAACCCTGCCTAAGAATAAAGTTGTCTAGATCTTGTAAAGAACATTCCAGATTAACTTCTTTAACCGCAAGAATATAGCTACAGAAAAATTGCTTTCAAAACCAAGAATCGGTCAACTTTTGGCACCTTGCCCCAATAAATAGCTAAATAAAAGAGAAAGCACCAAGTTTACTTTTCTTGCTAACCTTGACTGTAGCATTAAGGGTGTGCTTGACTGGAGGGAGAAGTTGGCAGAAAGAAAAATTAGAAGGGAATCTGTGGTAACTGTATTTTTCTCCCGCTTTGGTACAATGGATGGGAAAGAAATTCTATTAATTGCTTTCATATTGATATGCATATGCCCTTTGAATTTGCTACATATCACTGGAAATAAAATAAAATAAAAAGAATTCTCTTTTCCCTTTCCTACTTCTGCTTCCTCCTATCAAAACAAATGTATCATGGACTTGGCTTCGTTTGCATTAGTAGCAGACTACACCTGGAGATCACAAATAGTGAAGTAGCATCTAGCTAGAGGACTGAGGGAGGAATCTGTTGGAGACCAGAACTCGTGTCTGCATATAATGTATTCATATGTGAACATTTCCTTGGATTTTCTGCTTACAACTATTCTTCTTTCACTTTTATGTATTCCAGTAGGAATCTACAAAGTTCGTGTAGAAGCTAATAAATTTAGCTGAAAATGCAACACTAAAATATATGGTTGTCATTCAATAATTCACCAAAAAATGGATGACATAGAACCTACCAAGATTTGTATAACTCTTTCCTGTATTTTAAATCACGTGGTAAAAGATCCATTCTACAGGGATACAAATAACCAAAAATAGGAAACTTATGAATATCGATCATAATCTTACTACAAATTTAAATCTTTTCCTCTACAAAGAAAAGAAAAGGATAACAACGTATTCTCTCCATAATCAGAAAGTATTATACACTAGTTGAGCTGAAAAAGGACACTAGTGAACAAGGAAAGTCAAATCTTCCAACATTTCCCTCAAATTAGCGAGGAGATATTTCTCATTCACAACTTATCTAGAATTTGACTGAATGTCGCACAAGAAAATCCTTTTAACTCAGAATGCAGCTAATTGTCTTCCCTGAAGACATATATTAACACCCCCATCAACATTTACAATATGAATATAAAATCAGTAGGAATTTCCAAAAGACACAACTGAATTATAGGCCCATCAAGTTTGAAGCAATAATATGGCCGAATAATTTGCTCTTGCCACTAAGCCAGAGGTCATTAGACTCTTTACTTAAAACTAAGAATGGCTACATAGAGGGTATAAGCTCCTATAGCAAAAGGGAAAAAAAAATGTGCAAATAGGTTGTGCACAAAGTCCAATGCAAGAAAAGACAAGTTGCCCTCTATTAGAGACAAATAAAAGAACCAAATAAACTGAAGCTCACTTGGTTGAGCAACAAAAAACTGAGAAAAAGCTTTTTTGATTGATGAATTTGATAAGGAGGTAGCGGAAGCGCCATTGAACAAAGGTCACAAATTGCACACTCCAACAACAACAGGAGCAGAAAAGACCCATAGCAAAAGCCAACTAGTGAAGGACAGAAATTATTAGGACCAGTGTCTTTAAATAGCAGGAAAGAGGCTTCTTCTAAAACTCCAGAGTAGCTAAAACGTAAAATTAAATTGGTTAAGAAATTTAAGAACCTGACCAAGCCTGCCCGACGAGCCCACGCAGAAATCAAATTGCCAAAATCAAATGTAAATCGTCAACTCCAAAAAACTGGGTCTAGAAAACATTGGCATGAGCAGAAAACATTGGACATCCTTGTCCACACAGCAAAAGAGAATTTAAGTGGAACTGTGAAGCCACTATAAGTCTCTCAAAATATATTGACTGAACGAGAGGCACAAGGCCGCTCGCCAGAGAAAAGAAGCAAAAGCTAGTTTAACTCAATGCAAGATCCAATCTTGCTATGATAACATGTTGGAAATTGCGAAGTAAAAGTATTGAGAAAGAAGACAGAGAGGATTAGAAAATTTATATAACTCCAGTCTTCTCTTGTCCTTAAAATTACAAAGTGAAAGATCATATTCACATGGTTACAAATAACCAAATAGGAAAGTTATAACTGCCCACCATAATCTTCCTTGTGAATATTCTTCAAATACTAACCATAACTTGTGCAATAAAAGTTTTACCATAATCTTTCCAATACAAAGAAAAGAAAAGGGAAAAAAAAAAAAAACAGAATCTCCGTGGAATCTGAATATATACTACACTAGTTATACTGGAAAAGGAAACTGCTGAACACGTTAAGATCATCTCCAATGCATTCTATGAACTGCTATCTAGGTGGCATGGAAGTTGAAAGACTTCTGGTCTACATGGCATTAATGTTTAATAAATAGAGACTTAAGTATTAAATTAGTCTCTAATACATTCTATGGATTGTTATCTAGGTGTCCTTTATTTTCTTAAAATAAAACAAAACCACAATCAATCTGGATAGAATATATAAATTTGGAAAAGAAATATCATTTTGCTGAGTTACTTCGTCTAACACAGCTTCGTCTAACACAGCTTCTGAATCTAGACAAAGCTCTAGATGTTGTCTATTTTTTTATTATGTCACCTTGATGGAGTTTCGTCATCTAGCATTGGAAAGGAATTTTTTCAAACACCATCTATTCATGCTTATGTGACAATTTTTGATCAATTCACGATTACATCGAAGATGCTCTAAATCAAATATTTCAATAATATACTACCCCAAAAATTATCTTTCTTTTTCTTCTTTGCAAGGATATCCCTCAAATGATCACGTTATTCTTTATCATAGAAACCACTATATCTTTATTCAATAAAATAAAGCAATTTAACATGTGCGCATTTAGAAGATCGATCATGTAAAACAGAAAAAAATAACTTTTTTCTAGACAAAAAAGTTGAACTTACAAACTGATTCTCGAATATTATGTCCAAATAAGCATCCGCAACCTTTAAATAAGCATCCAGGCTGTTGTAACTAGATATAACCTGAAATATGAAAATCTCTCAAAAATCTATTATAGAATTCTTAATAAGAAGCAGAACTGTTTGGCTTATGATCATGAAATGAATCCTGAAGACACTTGAAGCCAATTTAAAGCCTAAAGGAAAAAGGAAATGTGTTATAGACAGAAAAAGAATGTCGAGACAGCTTGATTGGAGAATGAAGAGAGTTATCAGAATGTAAACAAGTAGAGATGATACTAAGTAAACAGTAAGAATGTGGTCAAGCGGACAACTAACCCATATGCCAATCTAACAACCGATTTTCATTTAAATGAATTGTTCTTAGTTTAACCAACAGGAACAGCTGGATGAGAAACTCTTAAAACACAATCAATTCATTTCTAACTCAGCAAAATCAGGCAACAAAGAATCAGGATTCAAAGTCTCTGATTAAAGGCTCGTTTGTCAAAGATTTTTTAAAAATCATTTTTCCCCAAAATTGCTTTCAATACACATTCTAGGGGACCTTCAATTTTTTCCCACTTTTTAAACACACATTCTCCAAAAAAAATAAAATAAATAATAATAATAATTCATTTTTCCTTGGGAAAATCTGTTCCAAACAAGCTTTAAATGTATCATGGTAGCATACAGAATCCACTATAGCCATCTATATTAAATAAAGATAACAATGCCATAGCGAAGAATCAGTTCTGCATAATAAAACAGAGGGGGTAAAATCATAATACCTGGACAATTTTTTCTACTATTAGATCGACATTACTGACTTCAGGTATCCTTTCACACAGCCTAAATCCAAGTAATTTGTAATTCAAACACTGCATATTGAAGAGTTAATCTGCCCAGATTGGAAGTCTGGTTAAGCATCATAAATATAGAAGTATACTGCATGAAAATCTCAAGATCGATACCTGTTCGAAGGAGAAATCATCAGTACGTTCAATGAGATGAAGCATCTCGAAAGAATTAGAACAAAGGAATCCAAGAGGAAGTTCCTTCAGTATATGATGAAGAATTATTGAGACGAATGAACAGTTTTCAAAAGAGTCTGATTGGTTTCTCCTCATTCCAAGTGCCTCAAGCATATTTCTGATTTCCATCTGTCATGGAGCATTCATGTCATCCATCAGTCAAGCCATCTTAATGACAGTACAAGGAAGACCAACTATTAAACAAACAGATCATAGTGTAAAAACCTAAACATTAACCAGTAATCAAGGGCTAAATCAGAAGCAACTTCACAACATAATCTAATGACGAAAAGTTTTCATATTTTAGACAATCAAAGTTTAAGTACAAGAATGAAGGATTCACAAGGATATGGAACCACAATAAAAAAAATGAGCCAGTCACAACAGCAGGGAGGATAACAACTTAAACAAACAAATAAGAGAATGTAGAAATGGTTCCACTCTGATATGAGAGAAACAAGCCCAGAAGATTAACAATTAAACGTGAAAATTGTACAATAATTTGAAAAAATAAGAACTGGGGAACGATTTAACATCCCCACATGAAGGCCCACAAAAAAATAAAATAAATAAATAAATAAACCTATACCGTCATATGGAATTGCCACAGAATGAGTAAAAATGCCAAAACATCCAGGCCAATATTACATATAATATTGACTTAAGTAACAAGAAGATTGAAGAAACACCATGCAGAGTTGTGCCAAATAGAACGGCTGCAATTATTCTCATTGTTCAATGTCAAACTCTATGAAAGAAAAGAATTGTATCTGTATATGAGAAATAACCTAGCATCAGCATATCAATCCCATCATAGCAACAGTACTGGCAAAGAAGCATAGCAGGAACATATTTCGTGACTGACCTGGTTTAGATCCTTGAATAAGCATTTTATGATATACTCAATAGTCGGTTCAATCAGGCTAACAAGCAATTTACTGTTTCCAGAAAAATTTCCTGAAGTGCTCTCTCTCGCTGATATAAGGCGCAATAATTGCACGTTCAGGTCATTAATGCAACGAATCAAATATCCTGCCATGTAACACGTTTATCTATGACTTGCAATAAGATATAATATTTAAAATGAAAACCATGCATGGATATCCTTCCATACAGGAAAATCTAGGGGGACTAAGACACGTGCTTTTAAGATCTAGAGTCGAACCAGAGCACACCATGATGTGAGTTTTTATGAAATGGGTTTAGACAGTTTTCTACAAACTTTTGAACTGAGTCAAATCATATATAATTATATTGGTAACGATAAGCCAACACATGGCAATAAGATACACGACTTTTTCAGTTTTCCTCTGGAAAATGTAAGGATATAAAATTGGGTGATCGCAGAAGTTTTCCTAGTTAAAATTTTAACTGGACAACAGATAGTGGCACAAGCTAGTTAAGTGGTTGACCTCTACTTGAGTTACGACTGTTTCCAGATTAGAAGATATCAAGAACTCTTGCATGAGAAAATAGAGAACATGAATTAGCACCTGTATCACATTGTGGCAGTCTTTGAGCACATCGTGCCAAGTACAAGCGGCAGTAGGCCGACACCAGCGGATCAGCAATGCCCCTTGTCATCATAACCAAGCGTTGAAGGCTATCCATGGGATGGTCAAGAAGGAAGCGCCAGCAGTGCAACATGGAAAGCTCCAGATAGCTGGCATACAGAGTTATCAGCATGAACAGACAGTAGCTATCAAGCACAAACGAAAAAAGGAAAACTAAAACGTAAGCAGTTCACTGATTCATATATCAGAATAGTCCAGCTACAAGATGTAAAATAGCATTGTCTTAACGACTCTGGACAAGAGTATAAAGATAACATCAGATTGGATTATTTTCGGAGGCAATGAAGATCTTCCATCTTCGTGTTTGATATCTATTTGACCCCTCCTCCCCCATCACCCCCGATCTTAGTTTGTTAGCGCACTCCATCGGTGGGATCCCATAAGATCAACACTAATGGTTGTATCCAATGACGGATTTGCCTGTGGTGGGGGCATTATTCGTGACCAGGATGGATGGTGCATACAGACATTCTCTTCTCTATATGGTGATTGCCCTATTTTTAAGGCTGAATTCAAGCTACTCTGGATGGAATTCTTCTCGCTCGAGGACTTGGACTTTCTGACTAGTGGTTAGAGGTAGATTCCTCTTTAGATGTTCATTGCATCATTCATAGAACTGAGCCATGATATATCCAGGGTACTCTCAGACATATCAAATACCATCTTTCATTTAAACGAGACATGATTTCCCAAATATACCGTGAGAGGAATCAGGTTGCTGACTCACTTGTCGTTGCAGTTTGGGAACAAACGCCATTACCAGGATTAGGGATCTTTAGACCTTCCTTGACGATTACACGCCCTAATACAAATTGACAGATATGGCATCCCTAGTGTTAGAGGGCTATAGTTTACTTTTGCTTCTTTACCCTTGTAAAGGAAGTAGTACCTCCTCATTTGTTGTCTTCTGTACTTATGCTGCTTTGTTGGAGCTCAGGCCTCTACCCCCCTCCCTGTCAAGGAGCTTGAATAAGATTCCGAAGATCGTCGAAAATTGAATAAGATTCTGAAGATCGTCAAAGATTACGATTATATTATTATAATTGTATTAGATATAGATAGATTGTTTTTACCATTAATTAATATCATAATTGATTGCTTCCATATTTAGTCGTTATTTTAGTCCTATTTAATGAGAAAACCTCTCATAAAGAGGGGTTTCGAGTCTTTTATTGAGTATATTTAATATGGTATCAGAGCCGTTCTGATCCTAAACAAATTAACCTTTGAATTTCATTTTCGGCGGGTGGCCTTGTGCTGCTCGCCCGGCAATTNGATGAGCTCAAGTTTAAGCTGTTTTGTGGAATTTCTTCCACCTGTAGCATCTGGAGTTTTGGCCGGTGTTTTAGCGTTTGAGCTTTTGTTGGAACACGAATTATGTGTTCGACTAAGTTCTCCCAACAAATAGAGCTCACTGTGTGTGTCGGCACACTTCGTGAATTTCTTTTGGAAATTCTTCTTGGGGAGTGTGAATTCGTGTATATTCTCGTAGTATTTTTGGAGTGTTCTCGTAGTATCTCGTAATATCTTTGGAGTTTGAATAAGATTCCGAAAATCGTCGAAGATTACGATTATATTATTATAATTGTATTAAATATAGATATATTATTTTTACCATTAATTAATATTATAATTAATTGCTTCCATATTTAGTTGTTATTTTAGTCATATTCAATGAGAGAATATCTCACAAAGAAGGGCATCGAGTCTTTTATTGAGTATATTTGACACTCCCATGTATTCAAGCGAAGTTCTATATACATATTATGGTTGGGGAATTCTAACCCCGATCATCCTCCTTTGGTGGAGCCTAAAAACACACTAAGGGTGAGTTGATTTGCCCAAAAAAAAAAATCTTCCATCTTCCATCAACTCTTAACTATTCCCCTTTCAAATTCAAATAAAGAAATGTAAGCTGATATGGAATATCATAACAACTCAGTAAATGAAAAACATAGCCTTTACCCTTCAAAAAGAGGATCTGTAACATGTTCTCCACTCATGTCTTGTCTCCTTAGCATACAAAGTGTTTGGCATCCAGTGACCAAATAAAAATGAAAACTTGGAGATAAAAATGAGCAAAAATTGACAAGTTTAAATTTAAAATTACTTCATATTTCCATAGAGGTCGACTGCATTAGTCAAAACCACCAAGATAATTATACTTCCAAAATCCACACTCCATAGAAACAAAATGCCTAATTGTTCAATTTCCTAAAGATAGTACATGTTCCTTCCCAATTCGCATACCCATTGATTTGATGTGTCTTTCCCCAGATTCTCCATATAAATTCAACGAAATATCTTATCCAAGATGTAGTAGAGCAGTGAAGTTAAGGTAGCAGGAATGGAAATGTCTACATGGAGCTCTATTCTATCATTCAAATTGCACAAATAATTAACCTCAAAAACTGTGTTAGTGTTTTGATTGTATATTACCTATATATGTCATTGAACAAAAAAAATTCTGTCAAACCAAGACTCATTAATATAAAGAAAGATTCATTTTCATTTTTTCTCTATAACAGCATAACCATATCCGAGGAAGATCACAGTGAGAATGCTACAAGCAGGCTGAACTCAGTAATGACTATCTTTGCCCTTATTTGAACAAAGTGGCCATCATTAGATTTCATCTCACATACTTACAGCTAAAACGAGGACTTAGTTTGACCACATAAGGTATGCTCCCGAGTTTTATTAATGTACACAGCAGTTATTTTATTCATTCGCCGTATGAAGATCTACTTGGAATTTCACAATATACCAATGTTAGCAGAAAGTTCATACATAAACGCAATTATCTCCAGAAGAAGCATTCTCTAACAACTAGAAAAGCATCAACAACTTAAACAAGATAATAATATAGAAAGGAAGTGACAGCATCAACAATTAATTAAGACAATAATATAGCAAGCACGAAACTATAAGAGAATAAAGAACTTCACATGCGAGGAAGGAGCTCACGAACTGAACCAATTTTGCAGAACCAGTTATTGCAGATCTCTTTGGCATCATAGCAAATATCACCTGCTTCAAAATTATCTGCCACATAAAACAGAAAGTCTTGAGATTCGTAGTTTGACGAACATATTCAGGTTGCCAAAGTTATAACTAAATAACAATCTTGAAAAGGACATCGGGGTTCAAAATTATTTGTAGTTTAAGGCTTATGTGAGGAAATATTATAACAATGACTTGGTCTTAGTGTGGTCCTACGCAGAGAGCATTCTACAGTAACCTTAGAAGGAAAAGAGAAAAAAGAAATTCCATTTCTGGTAAAACCTTCAATAGAAGGCTGACACTGACAGTAGCAATCACAGTGTGATATGTTTTCATATATTATTTTGCCATTGCTGGACTTTCAACAAATGATCCCTTGTTTTCAAAGCTACACTTCCCATGGAAAAGAAAGGAAGAAGAGGAAAACAAAGGTTATTTTCATGTGTACTTAATTGCACAAATTACTCTTAACTACAAACAATTTAGTGGGTACTTTCAGTAATATAGAAACACGCCAAGGTTGGTCTAGTAATCCACATGAGGCTGACCATGTTCTTATTGACAACTCAACCAAGCCTTACCCCAAACATATCTAGTTGGCTTCGTCTCCTTAGTTAAACTACAAAGGGTCAAATAACTTTAGGCCAACCTTAACACTAGCTCTGTCACTTTTCTTACCCAGTGCATCTAGCTGACTTTCTTCAAGATAGCCTAACCATCTCAGTTAAAGGCAGATAAAATCACTAAAGCGGAGAGCAATTGCATATTATGCTTACTTAGTGTGATCAAATGAGATTCAAAAACACCTTAACTAAACCTGGCAAAGGGCAAATAGATCTCCCATCTTCATTGAACTCAGCCCTTTGCTTAATGCGATTCCATACCAAATCACCTAGCATTTCCATTATATCCGTTGCTAGAACAAAAAGATTTGGATAAAACTGGACTGTGGTTGTATCCATAAGAAGTCTGGCAACCTGCAAAGAAAATCATTGATAATCAAAAGCACATAGTGCATGCATGAATCCTTGGTTGTAATATTGAGTTTCAGACTGAAGATACTCAGATATTACTTCACATAAAATTTTAAATTTTACTTTCCGGATTTTCTACAATCAAAGCAAATAGTTCATAATGACAGAGAATTTAAACCAGGTGAAACAACTGAGCCCCTGTTTGACAACCATTATTTTGAGAAAATAAAGCTTTGTATAGTAATTTTTTTGAGGATGCGTAGTTAAAAAGTAGACAAAAGTTTTGAATCTATGTGATTGTGTAAATGTATGATTGAAAATGAGTATGGGAATTAAAAAGTTTTAAAATAATAATTGTCAAACAGGGGCGACAATTCAACACTTACAAAAAGAAAACCCCTATTTTCTTTCAAGACGGAAAGAACGCTATGTTAAAATTCTGACTAAAACAGCTAGCAAAAGTATAAGACTAAACAAACAAAACCAAAAAATCTAAGCCACGACCCACCTTAATTGACAACCTTAAAGATGTTACACGGTCATCTGCATGCCAAGCAAGTTTGATTTCATCTTTGAGTTCAAGTAATCGTGAGACATACTCCCGCTGACTGATAACATTAACATCTTCAGCAAATTTTTGAGGATCATCCAATTCCTCCAAGTGTGAATCTTTCAATGATTTCTGATTTGCTGCCAACTTTCTCTTAAAGTTAAAATGGCTCCAAAAAAGACAAAGAAACCCGTGCAACCCAAAAAATCAAAAGAAAAGAAAAGGATAACTGTTTTGCAAAATACAGCATACCTTTACTACCCTTCATATCTTTGCTGGCTACCTATTAGAAGGAATAAAGTTGGGAAGTTAAAATTACCCACTACGTTCATAAAATAGGATGACCTTAAAACATGGTTACTCTAGCCTAGTTACAAAACGATATACCAATTCCAAGGTAGTCCTTACTTCTTGAACGCAATGATAAAAAAAAAAAAAAATCTAATTGCTACATAAAGGTTTAAGAGTGATACCAAAGATATCGAAATTGTTTTAGAAACAGGGAATCGTTGCATCAAAATTTTCGTGAAAGAATTCCATTCCTTCTGTTGTGATTGAGCATAAATTTCCTTGGGGACTGTCTCGTCAGATTTAATCTCTTCATGTTGCAAAATGTTGGCAGAAACTTCCATCTTCCCATTCATTGACCTCAGTGGATCAAAGAAATCATCTTTTCCGTCATCCAATAAATTCACCTGTAATTGATATCATCAAACTCTATCAACATTGTTAAAATATTGCCAGATATACAACACTCTGGGGCCAGCACAAGTGTTCCCAACACCTTTGGTGAGAAAGTGAAATTAGAATTCTTAAAACAAGAATAAAAATTGAAACTCGAAGAGTTCGTAGAATAATTTGATTGTAATGAAAAGTTGGTTAATTGAAAAGTGTAAAGAGCATTTTTTTTCTCCCAATGCTAATAAACAAAATAATTAAAATCCTAAAAAGAGTAAAATCCTACAAGAAAAAGGAAATTATATTTTAACAAGAAAGGAGAAATCCTACTACAATAATATATAATTTCTATCTTTTTTGTAATAGGAATGTTCTACATCATTCTCCCTCATTTAAAAAAATTCCCCCACGGTTTGACTGGAGAAGAGAAAATCAATCAATCTGGTAGAAAATACTCAAAATATTCTGCTATATAATATTTAAAAACATCCATATCTTCTGCAATTACATTGAATGAAATCAACTTTGCTCCTAAAATGCTCATATTCTCTTCCTTAAAGGACACTTCCTACTTGGCATTCCTTTAGAAATGATATTTTATTCAATCGATCATTCTTCAATCCCCATGTACAGTATAAACACTGCATTTTTCAATTCTTTGTGCTTCTAGTGTTCTTACTTCTAATGATGGCATCTTCAATATTACAAGTCCATCACTAATTTCCTTGTGCTTATTTAATTCTTTTTCATTAGAAGGGTCGACAAGATTTTTGTACTTAATTTGACAAACTTCAAATTTGACTTCTTCATGATTAGGAGAAATGAGGTCAACAACTGTAACTTCACCATAATGTTTTCCAACCTCAGCTTGTATTCATTATCAATTTCCATGAATTAGGGATCAGCATGTCTCGAGTTTTCAAATTGCACGTACTTTCCTATCTATTAGCAATATCACGGTCGGAAACACCATTATCATTTGAATGACATCCTTTTCAAACTTATAATCTACCTCATTACTCTTCTGCTCTTTATTTACACTGATATCCGCAAATTGTTCATCAAATGACAACAGAACAATCTGTTATTGTACTGTGGTTGACCCCAAACTACATGATAATTGTCTATCTCTATCATGTTATACACAATCTTATCTTTGTAGTACTTTCCAATTGATAATTAAATTTTTCATACCTCCATTTCAAAGTTTATCAATCCCCTATGACTAGTAGAACTTGATAGCAGGATGACTATTTTTTTGTCTTCAAATTTTAAAGCTTTCACCAAATCTTTAGACATCATGTTCTCACTCTACTCCCATAGATAATGATCACGTTGCAACTTCGTTTTTGATGGTGCATCATTTTTTAAAAAAATTGTCGCGCTTCAAATTGAGACAGTCTTATATCTTTTTTGAAGACATTCAGGAAATCCTTAATAACTTGTTCTTGCTCACCATTCGATGGTAGATCATTGGAATCTAAATCGTCATGGTTGGAGTGGTCATCTTTCTATGCAAGTGGCCATCCTTGGGGATCGTACATTACTTCAAAGATGAACGTAGCTAAGGTGTAATGGATATCTTGAGTTTTGTCAATTTCGTCGAGCTATGGCTTAATGTTTTCGAACCTCCGACCATTGTCAGTGGCTCGAACTCCGCTAGTACCGTCCTTAGCCATTAGATCAAGATCTCTAATACCAATTTTGGTGCGAAAGCGAAACTTAAATTCGTGAACCAAGAATAAAAATTGAAACTCGAAGAGTTTATAAGAATAATTTGATATATACTAAAGTAATTAAAATCCTAAAAGGAGTAAAAAAAATAAAATAATCCTTATCTATTAAAAAAGGGGATCCATCCACTTACTGTTCATTCATGAAGTATTTTGGATTTCCCATTTTACCCTTCAACTTTATTTCATTACCAATTCAGCTCTCCCAGGCAAAGACAAAAAAAAGGGTAGTATGGATATTTAACTCATGCCACTATTGTTGACTGGAAGAATTTCGGCTTTGCATGTTTGATATAGCTCCAAATGGGAGAGATTTATTAATTAATTTTAATATGAAAAGCATCCACCATTTCCTCAGCAGTCAGCACCGCC